TGTCATGGAATTCATTTCGGTGACCGTTCCGACCATTCATCATTCCACTGGTGACGTTGGATGCATGGTTGTAAGCCATCTGGAACCGTTGTGGACCTCTATATGACTGCTTTGGACGACTGAATTGAATAAGAGATTCCTGAAGGTTGGACAAGGGCCCTTCCACAAGACAGTGTCTTTCCTTGAAATGTTGCAGTAGACAGTTCCACAGTGGATGCTTGGACAAAACCTTGGGATTTCCAAGAATGACCAGACCATACTTCGCTCGGGTAAGCGCAACGTTCAAACGACGCGGATCACTCAAGAAACCGATGCCTTGGTGGTCATTGGAACGCACACAGGAAAGAATAATGAAGTCTTTCTCTCGACCTTGGAAAGCATCAACCGAAGCGACTTCGATTTCTTTGTAGTGCTCCTTCTTGAACGTGCCATTGGCCTGCATAGAGCTGACAATGTAGCTACGTTGACCCTCGTAAGGCGTGATGATACCAATGTCGGCTGGTTGCACACCGGCCTTGAAAAAGCGGGTCACGATTTTCTCCACATTTGTAGCTTCCGTTCGGTTGAGATACGAAGTTCCTGACGCCGAAATCTCTTCGTTGCCAAGGTTCGACCAGAACATCATGGGACTGTCAACGACAGGCCAAGGGAAATCCACGTCACGGCGAAGTCGGTCAAAAGCAGAGACACCATTTTGCAAAGAACCTTCATAAAACATATTCGACGGAAACTCTGACAAACACGGGTGCATACGGTACTGCACATTCAGTCGAATAGGGGAGCAGCCGAGGATAACAAGCCGCTCGAAGAGGGATTGGTTCAGACCCGCTTTGGCCGCTTTCTTGTTCATAATAACAGGTCCAAGCTGCTGGTGATCACCGACGAGAACGACCTGCTTGCAACCAAGGACCAGTGGAATCATACACTCAGGCTCAGCCGACTGCGTCGATTCATCGATCAAGACGGTGCGGAATTTGAGCTTGGCAAGTCGTGGGTCGCCAGCACCGACACAAGTGCAGCAAATGACGTCGGCATTGTTCAGAATCTCACGCTCTGCCGAACGAGTGAGTTGCTTCAAGCGCTTCTCGTCTTGACTTGACAATTCGCCCAGCTCGGCCTTGAGCTGATTAAGCTTAATGAGCTCAATGTTGCTGTCATTCAGGCGAACTTGCTCGTGCAGGGAAAGGAAGCCCACGGGTGACTCAACGTCCTCACGCGACTTGGCAGTCACACGTACTGTCTTGAGACCGGTCCTGTGAATACGCTCGCACAGCTGATCGACCGCCACGTTGGATGGCGCGCAGACCAAGACTTGACCTCCGTTGATCTTGGCGAGATGGTAAATAATCGTGGCAGACGTAACAGTCTTTCCGGTTCCTGGGGGACCCTGAATCAAGCTCATGGGCCGCTGTAGCACACTCTTAACTGCATTGATCTGGCTTCCGTTGAGCTCAGGTAGGCCAGGAACACTGAATTTCTTCGGTAGCTGAGTCTTCATAGGAGCAGCGGCAACTTCATGTCCCAGGAGACGATGGAAAATATAGCCGGACACGCTCATCTCGTCAACAGCGAAAGTTTTCATGGCGAGCTGCATACGATCGAATGAGGTTGATTTCCAGACATAGTCCGCAGCGAAGTTGTGCGTGCATTCGGTGGGTACAGATTTGTGATCGCCCTTAGCGCGCAGCTCGATCGTCACTTCATCAGACTGATTGTTGGGGATCTTTATGACGTATCCCACGCCCTCCCACTTGGGACGTAGCTCACCCGTGTACTTGAGGCGCATCTCATCTCCGACGGCCAATTTCACGTCTCCAAGTTCGAGCTTTGGCAGAATAAAGCTGGCAAGATGTTTGTTGTTTAAGCCCAGGTCCCAACGAACGATGAGACCATCCTGTGACTGAGACTCCTTCAGCTTACGGTCGTAGTCTGCTTCAATCTTGACCAGGGGCCCGAAGATGTTTTGGTACTGAAATGCATCGTCGTAGCGCAAGAGAACAGGCGCGGGTTCGTCATCTACCGCCGTAGCTTTCTCCAAGTCTGCGAGAGTTGCCTGAGAATTCTCCTTCCACATTTCTTCCAGTTTTGCGATCAACTGCGGGCTAAGATGCCGGGCCCGGAGCTGCTCTTGATCTGATGGAGCGGCAACAAGCCATGGCAGGAATGAGCGATCCTCAATCAGTGGCTGCCAGCGCGAAGTGTCCCAGTTCATATCCTTTGAAGACGGCATGGCAGCACAGGGCTGACGACAAAGCAAAACCACGACTGTGTCGGATTTGGCTGGAATAAAGCCCAGTAGAAAAACGTTCTTAGTTCCGCAGTTGTAGCACTCCAGGATAGTGTCACCCAGGGACGAGGCAGGGTGAAGCTGAACCTCCTTGTGGCGAGCTCGGACAAGATGGTTGACGATATGTGAAGAGGATGTGTTGCCACGAGCACTGCAAAACCACTTGCTGCAAGCCAGACATTTTACCACACTGCTCGGATTATGAATACCGCAATAACTATAGCAAGGAAGATAGACGTTAGCGAAAGATTCGGACCAGAGAGAAACATGGCGTTACTCACGCGCATGCATGCGGGGGGAGCTCCTTTTCCTCCTCAAGGTTGCCATCATTTTGCCTGCGGCCAGTCACAGCGGCGCTGGTAACACTGTCCACATCGTCGTCACCAAAATTATCCGATCCATCATCTTCATCATCGTGTCTCCTTGGGCGCGGACCACCGCTCATGTTCAAAGTAGTCTCATCGAGATCCGCTGGAGCCCTACCATCGCCAATAGCAGCCATAGTCGGCCTGAAGTCGGAGCTTAATGGATTATCAAGTAGCAGAAAGGTCTAGCTCGTGTTGCTGACTCTAGGCAAGGAGAGCAGTACCACTCTGAGCTGAACGTTTCGAGAGAGACGGTAGCGTGGCAACCGCGACGGAAATCGAAGATGCCGGAAATGAGGGAACCAAATGAGCGTCAGGACAAGCCAGTCGTCCTAAATGAATGAGCAAAGGCACAATCCTCAGTCCTTCTAAAGATCCAGTGTACCACAGTAGAGGGGCACCGGAATGAGAGAAACTAAGTTCGGTCTTAGTAAGTCAACTTATATTAGCATACCAGATACACAGAACATACCGGTTGATCTCCAATACCCTAGCCCACTTGACTTAGCCTTCCGTCACTATGAACCCAGCGAACGAAAGTCGCTAATCCTGAAATCAGGATGGTTGTAGTTGGCAGGACTTTGTGAGAGCGAGCGAGTCAGTGGACTGCGATCGGCTTTGGATGTTTTAAGTTATCGGACCTTTTGCCGCCAGAAGCCCACAGTCCGGTAGCCGGTTCAGGCCAGTGGCGCAGCTTTTCTGGAGAAAAAAAAGTTGTTCAGCGGACCAGATTCGACAAGCAATCATACAGACCACTCCAAATTCTCTAAAAAAGATGCTGGTAAGTAATATGTCGCTGGCATACACCTTGTCGGGATTTTCCGACTTTTTATAAATTCCCAGAAGGTTTCTGACCGACACCTAGCGCCGTCAAGCCCGTGAGCGTCGAGACTATCTCTATCGGAGAGCTCTGCTTCTCCGCGATGCCTCCATCGCCGAAAAAAGAGCTCAACTCAAGGCTTCTTTGGCTACCGGAAAGACTCTTGACCCCTCAATAGCGAATGACAAAACGCTCCGTGAAGACTTCAAATACGATGAATCATTACCGACGGCCGACAAACAGAACAAAGAGACCGACTATGCTGACCTCGATGATGAATACGCTCTCACCTCTGGTATTATTGACCCTCGTCCGATTGTCACCACCTCCCGGTCACCCTCCGTCCGTCTAGGCACATTTGCGAAGGAAATTCGATTGCTTCTACCGACCTCAATCCGCCTGAATCGGGGTAACCTTGTCCTTCCCGATCTCGTGTCGAGCGCAAATGCCGCCGCGCTGACAGACATGGTTCTCTTACACGAACACCGTGGAACGCCCACCGCGATGACCATCTCTCATCTTCCTCATGGCCCGACAGCCAGTTTCTCGTTGCACAATGTCGTTCTCCGTGCAGATATCCCCAATGCGGCCCGTGGGACTGTTTCGGAGAGCTACCCTCACCTAGTCTTTGAGGGTTTTAAATCGAAGCTCGGTCTCCGTGTGGTTCAGATTCTGAAGCATCTGTTCCCACCTCGTGAGGCTGGTAAGGTCGGCAACCGTGTTGTGACCTTCGTGAATAAGGAGGATAATATTGAGGTTCGGCACCATGTCTTCGTTAAGACTGGGTACCGGGATGTCGAGTTGGCTGAGGTTGGCCCGCGAATGACAATGAGACTTTTTGAAATCCGTGGCGGCTCGCTGGAGAAGGGCTCAAGTGGCGATGTCGAATGGGCTCTCACGCAGTACACAAGAACCAGCAAGAAGAAGGACTATCTGTGAGCATGTGGGACATCGACCGGAGGCAGTGGTTCTATGTATATTCCTACGGATGCAAAAAGTTTACTTGGCGCACAAGGTGTTTGGGAGGGATCAAAGTGCTTGATGTTTGGTAGCACTGCATCATTATTCATTAGATTGGTTATACCCACATTGAGAGGAAAGTCAAATTCGCTTCAAAGTCTTCTGCAAAAACCGTAAGAAATGACGATCCTCGACTGAAGCTGTTCGTTGGGAGATAGCAAGGCTAGCTACTTGTGACAAACCTGTAGCTCTGAAATAATGAACAAGAGTGCACCATAGCTCGGCAGCCCAGAGAACAATGAAAAGAGAAGGAGAATATCATCGAGTAGATAAGGCAGCGCTCAAGCAAGACAGACCCATCACCTGTAACACAACCCTAAAATGGCCGAGGTTGCCAACAGTGGCAACGATACACCCATGCTCAAGGCTTCTGTAAGCGGATATTTCCAGTTAGACGAAGACCGGTCCCCCTAATGAATACTGCAATTGTATGGCTAGCTTATGGGATCAATATTATCGCACTTTTGCGGAATCAACCATTGGCCTCGAAAGAACTGACCCCTGCTTTTCAGAAACACCATGTGCGCAGGCTTAGGTCTTTGACTGATTCGTCTTTACTATCCGGCGGCGTCAAAGGACCACGGTCATCGTTGCTCGAGCCGATAGCGATTTGCTCAGCACCCTGGTCCGCTGCAAATCTTCGAGTCTCAACCTGGCGAAGAAAGTTCGAAAGAAGAGATCTGCCAGTTTCATAGTAAAACCAGCCCTCGTGGGGTGGAAGTTCCTTTCCATCAACGTCCTGCTTTGGAGGCACTAGGATCCCATCCAGTCGACGCTCCCAATCCTTCCCCGTCTTGGCCGCGAAAAAGTCTCTGAATGCTGCTATCGCAGTGTTCTGGTCACTGCCGGGAGACGCGAGAATCTCGTCAGTGGACTTTCCGGTGCGACTGTACTTTGCTTGCGTTGCGTAAGTGTGAGGAACGTCGTTTGACTCGTGGACCTACAGATATATCAGCTTATGCTGTGAGCACGAAGAGGTTGCTTGGCCCTTCAGAGGCAGGGGCTTACCTTGATCTGGAATTTCTCGCGTGTATTGTTCCGAGATAAATGGCGGTAAATAGTAGCGCTGTACGTTTCCCCGGTGCTCTTGTCAACATAGATGTGATAGTTCACTTGACGTTAGGAGTCTGTCAGACCGCATAAGCACAACCCTGTTAGGGAAACATACCTGCAGTTAAGGCTTTCCCCTTGCTGGTTCGAGACTTTGGCTTAGACGAATCGTTTCCAGGTGCTTGGCTACAGTCAATATCTTGAAGAATCAACAATATTACGACCACACTTACCCGATGACTTGTCCTTAGCCTTCAACTGCCTCGTCTGGACCTTTGCGGCTCGTCTCTGTTTCTTTTTCTCTTTGTTCGAGATATTCGCCAAGAGGTAGGCTCCCTCAGGCTTCGGCTTACGGGTTTTGGACTGCAAAGAATCCTCGAGCCAGTCGTAGGTCACTATCTTGACTGTTTCCAGAAGCTTGGCTTTTTGAACTGTTCCATGGGCAACCTTAGTAAAAATGCGTAGTCTCGGCTGCAAAAGGGAATTATGGGTGCCACACCTGCTTCGACATTCTTTTCGAAGGTGTCCTTCGTGGTAATCAAGTGCGTAACTTCCTCGGTGACCTCCTTCGAGAAGGTCCCTCCATGGGCTCGTATCCACTGTGGGATCTTATCCCCGTGGACAGGGAACTTGCCAATGGCACAAGCGTGGATATTTTTAAATGTCTTTCCCATGGTTTCTAGAGGCGAGGTGGTAGCTTGAGTTTGATGAAAGTGGCAATAAAATCAGAGGTCAAGGTCAAAGAAGCAGAGCACACTGGAGATTTTTAGCAGATGTGTTAGTGATGAGGAAGGGAGGAGCAAGAAGCATCGTAGTTGTAGTACTATCAGGGCTGATACTGAATTGCATGCGATGTGTTACTAACCCTCAGGAAGACAAAGAATTGGCAATGAGATAACCCAAATATATTCATTTCAGTGAAACCGCTAGGAGTATTTAGAGAAACTTCAGAAAAGACATGAAATGTTTCTGAATCCCGGAAATAATGAGATATATGTAACCCGAAAGTGATCCAAGATAAGATATGAGTGAGACATGATCTTGGAGAACGTAAGCCTTCTAGTCATAAAAGAGTCATCAACTCATCATACCAGATATGCCACAGAGCAAGGCAAAGAGCTTTCTGCATTAAGCTTCAAAGGTTTTCACAGCTTGCACAAAAGCACGAATTTTGGCAGGATCTTGTGAACCATCAGATTCCACACCAGAACTCACATCAACCCCAACCACTTTGTGTCCGGAGTCTCCCAGCTTCTTGATGGTATCAACAACGTTGCAAGGGTCCAAGCCACCTGCCAGAATAACTCGTAGTCCATCATCGCCACCAAGGACTTTCTGAACACGCGCCTGATCGAGAAGCTCACCAGAGCCACCTGCACCGGAATCGAGCAAAGGCAAGTTGTGATAAGCTCTGCGTGCAATACCAGACTCATCCAAGGCAAATTTACGAATGACAGGCACAGGAATTAGGCTGGCCCATTCGAGGGGTTCTGACCCATGCAGCTGCACGACGTCCAAACCTAGTTTTTGCTGCTTGTCCAGGATGTAAGCCAATGGTTGATTTTGGAACACTCCTACAAGCAGAGCCCGCGTGGGATGACGAAGGACGCGGGTAGAATGATCAAAGAAGTCGGAGGAAGAAGTATTGGCGGGCGACGTGGAGTCAGGCTGGACAGAAGGGCGCTGGGTTGACTTCACTACCTGAGCAATGCGCAGAGCGACATCGTCGGGTACACATCGTTTACGACCTTCCACAAGGATAATACCAACCAGATCTGCACCAGCCTCAACAGCGGCACGTGCACCCTCTTCCGACCGAGTTCCACATATCTTCACCAATCGTGAGCTCGGCGCCGACTTGGAGTTATTTTCGGCATTTCCCCCTAATAGTTCTGCAACAAAGGCAGATGTGTTTGGGGCCCGCATCAGCGCCTCGCCGACAAGGATAGCCTTCACTCCATCCTTTTTGTAGGCCTCCACATCCTTTGGTCCAGAGATACCACTGAGAGCACAAACGATGGTACTTTCAGGTACCAGGTCCATCAACCGACTCGTTGTGCCAAGATCGACCTCAAAGCTTGTCAGATCCCGGTTGTTGACGCCCACCACCTCGGCGCCCAGTTCAACGGCAATTTTCATCTCTTCTGGGGTGTTGACTTCGACGAGAGGCTCCATCCCAAGACTACGAGAGTAATTGTAAAGCCTCGTAAGAAGCTCAACACTCAGCATCTTCACGATGAGCAGGACGGTATCGGCACCAGCTAGGCGTGCCTCCAAAATTTGATATTCGTCAAAAATGAATTCTTTCCGAAGGACAGCTGGCCGGTTGGGCAAGCCCTCCAGACTCTGACGGACGGCTCGCAGATCCTCGATGCTGCCTTTGAACCATTCTGGCTCAGTGAGAACTGAGATGACACTAGCTCCAGCCTTAGCATATTGTCGGGCCTGAGCCGGGGCACACGCCGTCTCCGCAATCATGCCCTTGGATGGAGAAGCTCGCTTGATCTCTGCCATCAACGATAGTGGATAGGGGGACTGTCTGAGGCGAGCAGGAAATGAAATCTGAGGTGGCGCAAGGCTGAGGTCGTAGGCAGCCTGAAGATCTTCAGGACGTTGCGATGGAATCAATTTCTGAACAGCAACGGCTGCTCTCCGGTGATCATAGATCTTATTCAGGATGGATGTCTTCTTGTCTACCTTTGGTGCGGTGCTGCTCACCTTGGCCGAGCCGGATGAGGATTTGCCGTTGGCCTCCCAGGTCCCTGCTGTAAGCTTCAAGAAGTTCCTGAACATGGTGCGGCCATGCTCCGTGAGAATACTTTCCGGGTGGAACTGGACACCTTCCACTGCGTATTGCTTGTGTCTGATTCCCATGATAACGTCCTTGCCGCTGCCATCGTTCAATGGGACAGTTGACGTAACTTCCAGACAGTCTGGGACAGTCGCATGCGTTCCAGCCAACGAGTGATATCGAGTCACTTCAACCGCAGGAGGCAGACCTTCATAGACACCTCTGCCGTCATGCTTCAGTATCGATGTCTTGCCATGCAGGATTTCACCGAAAACGTCGACCTTTCCACCAAAAGACGTGATCATACATTGCTGTCCCATGCAAACACCGAATACAGGTATTTTCCCACCGAAGTACTTAATGGCCGCATTACTGATACCGGCATCTGTTTCTGGATGGCCTGGGCCAGGACTAATGACCAGTTGAGTCGGCTTCTTGGCAATCAGCTCTTCCAAGGTGATCTCGTCATTGCGAAAAACCGTGACGGTGGCTCCCTCTAAAACAAGATATTGGTATACGTTCCAGGTGAAAGAATCGTAATTGTCAATGAGAATGACATTCGAGGCACTGGCCAGCTGTGCGGCTTTGGTGGGATGGCGGGGAGAATGGTCAACGAGATCGGAGCTCGCCATGACTGAGACTTGGAGCAGGAAAGATTCAAGGTCGCTTTCACTATGAGGGAGATGAACAAAGACTGCGTTAGATTTGCGCTTGACCTGCCCAAGATTGAAGGAAAATCTCACCTGCTTCAGATCAATCAAGGGGTGCCTGCGTCACCAAAAGTAATATTAGTTTGACGCTGTTTGACTCACAGGAAGTCCTCCGATGCAGGCGGGTCAAAACTTCCTAATCGGGCTTGTTTGTCAAACTGTGCAAATATTCTTCTCACCGCCTGGCGCTAAGCCCGAACAGGTATACATTGTTGACCTCCAGCCAAAAGGCTCCTTCAATAATATTCTTGGGCGCCCGCCTAGAGCTAAAGCTTTGAGCTGCATTGATTTTGACCTTCAGCCGGCTCGATTTCTTAGTCAATCTCTATCTTTATCTGTCAAGCGACTCATCCCTATATCCGATTGGTACCTATAATGTTATAAATTGTCTCGCCAAATGGCTCCCATCCCGGAGGCCTATTTCCCGTCCCTGGACAAGTGCTTCTCTGGGGACGTCCAGCTTCTGTATGCGCGTTTTGTCCGTACAATTGAAAAGCGATCGGTGTTAATATACTTTCTCTTAGATCTTGGAGACGAGCCTTCATCTACACCTGCGACCCTGACAGCGATGTCGACGATACAGGCAGCTTCCATGCGTTCCTTTCGCATCCAGAGAGCACTCGCCTGCTTTCAAATTGCTTGAATCCTTTCTCGTCGCCTTCGGCCAAAACAAAGGCCGATTTCGAGTCTAAGACAGCGGCAATCCATGCAGAGACAACTGCCCAAGCTTCTTACGATCTGAAGGAAATCAAAGCGGATACTCTGTGGTTGAGTCAAAAGGCTGGGATCGACGAGATAACCGCTCTTCGGATCACAGTTCTGGAATGGCAGGATCGTCCTGCTACGCGCTTGCTAGCTAGATTTACCGAGGAGGAAACAACTAGCCTACAGAGTGCCGCTGGGATCGACAATTTACGTGCGTCGCTTGCAGGGCCTGCATTGAGTGAAGTTCTGCGACAGAAGGCTGGTGACGACTCTGATTTCTTGTCCGAGGAAAATAGACGACTTAGATTGCGCGACCTTTATCTATCCGAGAGAAGCCATCTGTTGAAGACAGCACGCAAACTGCTCGCATTGTCCCTCCACAACAGCTCTCAGAGTGAGAGTACTCCTCCCGCTCCTCATGTCAGTGATCGCATCGAATCCTTGCGCAAGCTAGGTGCAGCCGTCTTTCAAGAAAAATCTACAGGCAGTGAATGGCGGTCCTTTGTGGAAGCCTGCATCAAGGCCATCAAAGATCGGCTTTCCGCATTAGAAGGAGATGGTGGCTGGTTAGGTGTCGCTGAGAGCAACGACGCAGTAGAGATTATGTGGAGGACAACCTTTGTTGAAGAGGTCCTGCACGTCACACAAATGCTCTTTCTCCAGCTTCAGGCATCGGCCGAGATTCCCACTGCTGAACTATTAGTATCTTGGCTCCGTGTCATGAGTGATTATAGTTTCCTGGAATCAGTCCAAGTAGTAAGTCATGTTTTGAACTTCCAGGATTGTCGTGACTCCATGACTGACGATTGAAGCCTTGCCAAAACCCCTTGGAGATACTCTTACCACTACAGGCTTTCGTCGCTCTGACAACCCTCGCGTTTATGAAGCTACCACTGGCCTTGCCCTCGATCATCAACAAATCAACGTCAACCACCCCTTCCCAGTCGCCATATTTCCTTTCCAAGGGCGAGATCGGCCGATTGAACGAAATATTTGTGACCGCCGGGGTTGAATCTAAAACTGCAAATCCCGCAGCATTCTCGTGGGGACTACTTCTACATACGTTGAGAGAGCTGGCACTTAGCGACAAAGAGACGCGAGAGCTAGAACAGTTTCACAGCGCGGTGGATTCCTTTCAATCGAATACCCCCCACTCAAATTCAGGCCGAGCTTCAGAGCTCTCCTTGTACGAGGAGTTGCTCGAATGCGCACGGTCTCCAACTTGCACAGCTGAGAATTCGATCGCCCTTTTGACTTCGGATGCTATGAAGGACATGATTTTCGAAGTGATAGTCGCTTTGGCCACCAACGTTGGTTCGACATCAGCCGTCGACGACATCCTTACAGAGCGGTGGACACGAGTGGTACTTTTGGATCTCGTTCGCGTCGCGATGATTTACGTGGAGTATTCCCCCGGGATTGTTGGCTCTGTCTTAGCGGTTCTCAATGGGCCTCCTACAAAATCACT